CGTGTTTGATGGAGGTTATACAGCAGCGAGCGGCACCCCAGCACAGCATTTGCCAATTAGGGCAGTTGGTGCTACAGACCCAATAGCTAGACTCTACGCATTTGGAGCGGATTTTATGCGGGACTTGCACTTGGCATGTGGGAGGCATGCTTCTGGAGCCCATCTTCCTATTCAGCTCTAGCCAAGGGACTGCAAGAGCTCCACAGCATGCAGAAAAGGAGAGGACTTTGGGAGGATGGGAAGACTCACTTGAAGAGCTCATTCCTGATCTCCACTAAATTCTAATGTGGACATGCCCGTATCTAGAGTACCCCATTACTTCCAAAGATGACCACAGCTGGCCAGGGAAGTCTTGCATGGAAAATCCATAGTAGTGCTCAGCAGAAATACAGTCCAAGCAGGCAAAAGCTACAGTGCCAACTTGTAGCAATCCTGTAGAGCCCACAGATTGCAACCTATTCACAGCTTACACTTCTTAAAGAATTTGGCTCCATTTTCCTCTGGGAGGGAGAACTGCAGTATTTGGACCCAGGAGCAAATTCCTCCCAGATCTGAAGTCCTCACATCAAAAGCTCAGGATCTCTACAGTCTTCACCAAAAGCCACCAGTATTTTATAACCTGGGTTATAAACACTATTTTGTTTTCCTTCCAACTTCCAGACGAACTGAACTCTTTTGACACTTCATCCGGGGTAGCTATAGCTTGGCAAAGCTATAGGCAATACAGAAACAGATCTGATGAAAACCACCAGAGAGAAGGACTGGGAAGTGCTCTGCACATGCTGTCCACCTGCTAAGTCACAACTATAGCTGCTATAAAGAACCAATTACACTGTTACAAGGTAAAATTAACATATGGGTAACAACCCAGCAAAACCACTTCAACCTCATTCATTTACCTGAGGAAACAACACATGCTTACATAGAATCATAGAATGGTTTGGGTTGGAAGGGACCTCAAAGATCATCTAGTTCCAAGCCCCCTGCCATGGGCAGGGACACCCTCCACTAGACCACATTGCCCAAAGCCCCATCCAACCTGGCCTTCAACACTTCCAGGGAGGGGGCATCCACAGCTTCTCTGGGCAACCTGTGCCAGTGCCTCACCACCCTCACAGTGAAGAATTTCTTTCTAACATCTAATCTAAATCGACCCTCCTTCAGTTTAAAGCCATTCCCCTCGTCCTGTCACTCCATGCCCTTGTAAACAGTCCCTCTCCAGCTTTCCTGTAGGCCCCCTCAGGTACTGGAAGGCTGCTCTAAGGTCCCCCTGGAGCCTTCTCTTCTCCAGGCTGAACAAGCCCCACTCTCACAGCCTGTCTTCATAGGAGAGGTGCTCCAGCCCTCCGATCATCTTCATGGTCTCCCCTGGACTCGCTCCAGCAGCTCCATGTCCTTCTTATTCTGAGAATCCCAGAGCTGGATGCAGTACTCCAGGTGGGGTCTCATGAGAGTAGAATAGAGGGGGAGAATCACCTCCCTCGACCTGCTGGCCACACTTCTTTTTATGCAGCCCAGGATACAGTTGTTTAATAGTTGTCTAAATGTGTATTTATGGATATTAAAATAAGGAAGAAAGATACAAGAAATGTCAATAGCAAGAAGAAAGAAAGCAGGCCCTACAGCTTTAAGTCAAACTCAGTAGCATCATCATTAAGAAATCCTAACTTGAGGCACATCAAAGGTGATAAATAAGAGAAATTAAAAAGTATACTACACAACATCAAGAGTATCTCACATGTAAAAGTCAAAAGATGAGTTGGGGTAGGGTTTTGGGTTTCAGTTAACCTGGGGTCTAATCCTGAAAGGCTGCTGTGGCATATAGTGCTGCCCACCCCCTCACTTTCATAGCTTTCTGGAATGCTTTCCCTGAAATCTAACAGCTGATTTTCCTGGGGAATGGGAGCTTTAGAATGAGATGTAACAAACAGACAAAACCAGAGTAATTTCATGAAAGAAAACAGTCTGCACATGTTCCCCCCAAACAGCTTACCCATTGTCCATCCCAGTGCACTTAAAATCAAGTGTTAAGCCCTTAATAAGGATCCTTTCTGCAGTCTTTAATAGCAATGACTTGCAAAGATGGTGAGAAGAAATGGAATGCAGAAGGAATCCTATTTTTCCAGATTACACCAGAAGATAGCTATTACTTCCACTGCTGGAGGAAGGAGGAGACTGCATGAGAAGACTATTCCTTTTTGTCAGGGGAACACACATGATCACAAAACCTGCTGTTTACTGAGGAACAGTGAATACAGGCTTCTAAGTAGAGAAGCAAAAAATTAAGAGCTAGATCCACAAACTGCACACATGAATACAGAAGTTACACCTACTCACTATTTGCAATGCTCTTCTACATATCAAAGTTCAGCATATAATCTGATCATATAAAAATATAATCTAAGGGGCACCTGGTAAAAGTGAGTGAGTATCCTCAGCTGTGAGCACATTTTGGGTATTGAGTCTTGAAATTCTTTCATCCTCTTGCTCTCTTCTTCATCTTCTGATGCAGTTACACCCCACTTGCCCTACACAGAGACCAAATGAGTTAAAATGTCAAGTGTGCGTCACACGATGAAAGTTGCTAATTGGACCACCTTCTGCCCAGCTAGACCGCCGTGTTTAAACAAACCAAGCACTGCCACAGAAAGCCAAACGCAGAGCCTCTAATATTGAATCTATCAGTCCCCTTGGTGGTTGTACGGCACATGAAAGAAATATGAGGTTAGAAAAGCAGGTGAGTCTCACTTCAGCACTGCATGTCCCACAGACTGACAGTAAGGAGGTAGGCATGGAGCTACGGCATTTTTGCAAACAAATTCAGAATATTAAAGCCTCTTCCTTTCCTTCACTTTTATCTTTACTGTACCTCAAGCTCACGCTGTTTTTTCCTCTCTTCAAATTGCAACCTCAGCTGCAACTCCTCCAAAGCAGCTCTGTACATTGCATCTTGGGCATTCTGGAGCTCAATGATCTGATCAAAAACAGCTCGAAGCTGGTTGAGAAGTACCTGTGAGACCGTTAAGCAACAAAGCAATGAAACAGTTGTACAGCAAAAGAGTTTCAAGTTACTACCACTCTTTGGAGCATGAGTAAATTAAATCTTTTTACACACAGCCAGAGAGACTGTTTTGCAACCCCCGAAGTCAGTTGTTGCATGACCGCACTGCTTCTTAGGACCAAACCCAACTGCCCTACGTTCTAACAAGTTTTACAGTCAGCATCTGTCACTGTGTCTGGGGAGTATGTACAGAGCCTACCATAATAAGGTCTTATATGAGAGGAAGAAAGATTACTTTACCCCTTGCTCCTACAACATAAAAGAAGGTGGTTCCTAATCACCAAGATCACAAAGCTACAATTTAATGCAAAAGAGAAGACTTACCCTGGAATCGCTATCCAGCAAGCACCGAGCTATGATTGTGTCTAGAAAAACTTCATGAGCTGCAATGATGTGATCCAAGTCCTGTGCTTGTTGGACCTTGTTCCAGAGTTCATCCCACGAACACTCAAGCACCTGGAGCAATGATTCAGGATTGGGCTGTTTTGATTTGCTAGATGACAAGCTCTTTGAAATTTAAGACACACAACACATACAGAATATTAAAAGTACTTCATTTTTAAGCAACTAATTGGGTGGATAGAGTATACCTCAAATGTAATGTAATACTGCATTTGATGAATGAAATGGACCATTTCTGATGCCAGAACGTGACACTGATGCAGCACCCCAGAAAGCTCTGTAAAAAATCCAAAGAGATGGCATGTTAAAGACCGCAAGGACAGGCACAACCATCAAACCAGCTTGGTAAACTTTTTTCTACCAAATTGAATACTTCATAAAACAGCCACTAATCTTGGATGACAGCAGCAATACTGCCTGGCAACAGATGAGCTAAGTACATTGCACAATTATCTCCTAGAAAATATGAACCAAAGATGACACTGACTGTGTGTTCAGACAGTGCTGGAAACTTGCTGAATATCACAAGTGAAAAAGACCCTCTCAGTCCCAAGAGACCAAAATACAGTTAATGCCCTTTGTGTTCTTTTGGTTGAAAATCTGAGGCCACAGATTTGCAGTTACGTCTGGGGCCTCTCACATCTCCTACCATTAGCCTTTAAACCACTGACAGTGTATTTTGCCTTACTTAACTACACTGAGACCAAAAGAGAGGGTGGTTGTGACAGGGGTAGGGAATTCATGGCTTATGTGGTCCAAGTTTGATTCCCTGATCCACGACAGAGACCCACAGGTGAGTCACTAATGGCCTCAGCTGCTCACCTGTAAGAGAAGGTACCTCTGTTGCAGAAGGGTATTATCAAGATTACCATCAACTGCAACAATTCTCTGGAATGAAGATACTCAGCCTTCTGGAATCAGGCAGATGTCCAGAGGAAGTAATTTCTAAAAAGCTGCCAAAGTAATTTGCCACTGCAGACAAGCTATGAGACTACTACAAAAGGAATTCTATGTTTTCATATCTTGGGATATTACAGAACCCTCCAATGATCTGAAGGATATTACAACAAGCTACTCTGCTCTTCATTTCTTATGCATTTGCAGGAAGACACATTATGTTACTATCTACTTCAAATAGGATCAATGAAAAAAAACCTCCAGGGCTGTCTAAACAACAGAAATTCTTCAGCATTGTTGAGCTGGATACATCTGTGCTACTTCTTCCAATTACTGATAGGAAAAGAGTGAGCTTGACGCTACTGCCTAGAAGTACTCATTTAAAGCATTAAAATCCCTGGCTGTTAAGACTTCTTGGGAATTGTGAATAAAACTGTCCTTGAAAGTCAATGCTACCTCTTTGTGGTTGAAAAACAAAAGACTCTGCAGCTGCTTCTGCCTATCAGTTACTGTCTTCCATTTGGTGCTCTGTGACTGGAAGAGCAAGGTACTGTTTTGGAGGGAGAGAGAGAAAATAAAAGCAAGTTCTACTACTTCTTCATAAATCAGTGCTGGGGTGGAGTCTCCATGCATTTCAGGAAAAAAGCTCTACTTGCAGCTTCCATCTGACATGCCAGTGAGCAAGAAAGACTCTTGTCCCTCCAGGCAGCAGGTAGTACAGGTCTTTGTAAACATACTCTCCTTTGTCAGAGGCACGAACTGAGAAATACAACACTCGTCTCCTTCTGCCAACAATAGCCGTAAGAGCTTGGCCAGCATTTTAAAGGTCTGCGTTACTTAAAACATAGCCAAACTTAAAGGCTACAAGCAACTGAGCTTTTTCCTACAGAAGACTGCTCCATGGCAAAGCGTAAGAAAGGCCTCCCCGGGGAGGGGAGGTGGTGGGGGGAGAGAAAAAAAAAAAAAGAAGAAAAACCAAACTTCCTCTTGAGAACAAAAGAAAAATAAAATCCTAGCAATGGGAGACAGCTCCAGCCTGAAGACCTCAGGTGATGAGAATAAAATCTGTTAAATATACCCTAGTCTCAAAGGGAACAGAAAGCAAGAATGCAATACACCACTGGTTTTGAGTCAAACAAGTACTTGTTTGGGACAGGGAAATGACAGTAAACTAAATCCTATCCCACAGAAAGAGAAAGGAAACCTAGTCATCCTGTTCATTTTCAGACATCAGCCTTGTGCACTAGGGCAGACTTTACAAGAGCTTGTTTTGCAGCGACCTTCTGAGGCCAAGGTGTCCACTCCCACCCACCACACAGTTCCGAATTATAAAAACAAATTTATCTTTGCCACAAAGAAGCATAACCCTCAATACCTAATTTTTACTGAGAGAAATGTAGATAGGTAAAAAACAGTCAAGCTTGAGCCAGTACAGATGCTCGCAAATATGACTATATTCTCAGCTGAGAAACAGGATCAAAAAATCCCAGTCCATTAAACATACACCAGAGTCACCACACTTAAGAGCTTTCCTATTTCTTCTCAAACATCTGTTTCTTCTTATCTTAGCCTCTTCTGTTCTTAGCTAAACAAAAGCAGTGAGTGAAGTTAAAACTAGTAAATTCAGAAGTGTGCACATGTGAGACTTACTACTTCCAGCACAAGAAAGAGACATAGGGTACAGATAGGAAGGCATGAAGGAAAATGAATAAAAGGGCATGGAAGAGTAACGGTCTTTTTCTAGAGACATGGGATGTTTCATTTGCTCACTGCTACAAAAGCTCACAACCAAGGATTAAATAAAACAACAAACAGGAAAACTTCCATTTACAATACTGTTATTTTATCTTGATCATCATCTACCATTAAACAGTCAGTCAACAGGAGCGACAAAACATAAATTCACCTGTCCAAACAGACTTTTTTTTCCCCTCTTAACACACAGTTTAAAACAAGATACAGGCATCTGAATTCAGTTTACAAGTATGTCATCAATTTGGGCCTCTCTCACCTATTTTATCTTGATCATCATCTACCATTAAACAGTCAGTCAACAGGAGCGACAAAACATAAATTCACCTGTCCAAACAGACTTTTTTTTCCCTCTTAACACACAGTTTAAAACAAGATGCAGGCATCTGAATCCAGTTTACAAGTATGTCATCAATTTGGGCCTCTCTCACCTGGTATACTTTTCAGAAGCTTTGCATTGCACATGTGCCCTTTCCATATATCAGTAAGAATATACTCCATTCGCTTCGCTCTCCAAAGGAAATTAAATACTCTTAGATAATGGCTCATGCACTCACGTGTAAATACCTACAAAACAAACAAAATATCAGTACAAATTTAATAGACACGCCATGTGTTTTGAAGGACCAAGAACCTCTTCGCATTCCATCTTATCTGATCCATGCAGTTTATTGGTAAATATTGCCAAAACCAAATCCCTGGAAAGCCCAGAGCTTTTGGAAAGATCCTCCCTCAAGGGCTGAACTGAGTTACCTAAGTTCTGAAGCCTAAACATTTCACTCTTTTCAAATTACATATGAAAATTCCTTCTGCTGGTCAGACACACATTTCAATGTCCAGTGCGTAAAAAAAAAAAAAAAAAGGTTCTTTACAAGTTCTTTATAGAGGCTAAATGCATTCTGATCAACAGTGCAGCTATTTTCTCAGGAATTCTAATGAATGCTACCTATCAAATTTCATTTAGACAGTACAAATAAGTTATACATTCTTCAGTTCCTTCCAAAACATCCCAAATTAGCAGCTACAAACTAGTAATAACGGAAGAAGAGGAGCACTCCATTTATTAAGTACTTGCTAAAACATCTGCTGGAACAAATGAATTACTGTTTTCAGTAATGATTGTTTTACGTGTAGCTTTTCAGCACTCACAGCTAATTTATAAGAACTGAGATTCTGGCTCAACTGTTTATACAGTGGGTGTATCCTAGATTAAAAAAAAAAAAAAGTCTCTCTGATCTTACACTCCAGAATAAAAAAAAAAGGTTATTTCAATAAAAAATATTTAGCAATTCAATTCACTGAGACATGTTCACAGCCAGTAGTATATGACATTACTGTTGCGATTGGTCCATCAACATGATAGTCCAAGCTGAAGACATCCCATCCAGTGTCCCCAGGAGATACCTGTATTAAAAAGACATGCTACTTTCAGCGTATAATCAGAGCATACTAGTGCTGAAGACTAACTCTTGCTTACTCTTCCATTCTCCACAGCCTAAGAAAAAACAAGCATCTACATCAATACAAGATACAGGAATTCCTTGTCAAAAGTAGTAGATTAAGCAAAAATGAATTGAAGTTTGACTCAAGGGTGGGATTCATCTCACCAAATTGTTGGTGTTTTAATATTGATGTTTTGCCATTGGAACAAGTAAAGGAAATGAAGGGAAGGAAAAACTTCTTAGGCAGGACTCAGCCTAAAGTATAGACTTATTTCAGATGCTACAGTTCATCAGTTAACTCCCACCTCTGGGACTGGAGCTTGCTCATTAACTCAAGTTTCTTACCAGAGGTCTCCTTCATGAAATGCACTTTCAATGCTTCACTCTTTGTAGGTACTGGTGACAAAGAGACTACCCTCCAGGTTCTTCTAAGAGCAACAGCAGTAGAAGCTGTTTACAGAACCTCAAATTAGGGCCACCAGCATCAATTATGTTAAACCCCAAGTACTCAACTTCATGTTGTCAATGAAACAGCTGTAAACCCAAAGCTTGAAATACAAATAGACAATAGGCAGGAAATGGGAGAAGAAGACTTATGAAATGAGGTTTATATAATTCAAAGTAGACTTCAATAGAAAGTGTGTGTGGGGAAATGTATTTACTATATACACATATGAAAATTTTGTTTCATACAGATGTCTGCATGTACACACACACACAGTATGTTTCAGGTCAGAGTCACCATGATACAACAGACCTCCAGAAGTCGAACATCCAATCGTTTGAGAATCTCAGGATTATCAAACTGGGCATTGGTTGCCCTCACTGCTGTTTCAAGGATTCCAGTTAGATTATGCTGATATAAGGTTGTAGCTGGTCGTGCAAGCTCTGGCCTGGTGGTTATGAAACAAAGAGTCACAGCATATTACTGAGATATTCTGCAGCAGCAATTTGGTATTAACTGCAGCACATAGTGAAATGTTTTTCTGACAGACTTTTAAAACCTCTCGTATTACTCTTTCAGTCTTAACCACAAAGAAAATCAATGAGCAAAATATTTGAGCAGAATATGTCTATTCATATGCAGCTGTACACCTGAACATCAGCATGAGGAGTAACTTTATCCTCATTTAATGCCAGTAATTTGAAATTACCAGGATTGCTAGCATCACTATCCTGTAATTTGAGTTGCATTCATATCTAAAATGAGGCAGATTACATCATTAACACATCAAACCAGTAATTTCATTTCAGTCTTGAGAGACTTACTGATAGCCATCCCACAGGCTTAGAAGTACTGGCAGAAAAACACAAACCCACCCCCTCTATGTAACTTAAAGTTTCCAAAGAGTTGCAACACGTAAGTAACAAGCACCTTGAATTACCCCTCTCCCCCCTCATCAGTACTGGAAAGCCCCTCAAATATAATACTGACTCCACAAATCAACCTTCTCCTGCTTCACAATAATTTTCACTTTAAAAAGCATGGTCATGTAAAATCATCACCAGACAACATTGATTTTGATTTACAAACAAGTTAATGGAAGCTGTATTACAAAGCCTGCCTTCTAGACCAAAGGAAAGCTTTGTAAAGAACATTTTTGACAAACTAAGTTTCATCAGTAGCAACAGCATGTAAATGCAGTGAGCTTGCAAACACACTTTAAGAACTGAAACTGATACTTGCAGGTGTACCTGAGCGCTTAAAACAGAGACTTGTGAGGCATCAATTACATTTTAAAAAATGCTTTGAGGGGTTTTGACACAACGTTTTGGACCAAATATCTCCAAATAAGAAGCCTAACATTCATGGCAACGATAACTTTAAGCAGAACTTTTCTGCTTAAACTTGCTGACAGGAGCGAGAGAAGTGCTAACATCCTCAAGGCTGTCACAGGGTCAGCATAAAGATATCTATATTAGTGCAACTTTTCAAGACATTGGGAAATGGTACTGTACATACTTCCAACTGAAAAGGAAGAAAAAAGTTTAAGCCTCAGGGTCAAATAAATAAAGCCCAAAAGAGAATTTAAAAGTTGTTCAATTAAACCTTTGACTAATAAAATACTTAAAGGGTCCTCTTCCAAAAGCAAAACAGTTTCTGTGCTGGTCATGCACATTTGCAAGCATCAGAAATTCAACATAATTACCCTTCCTACTCTCTTACTTGAGCAAGTCCATTAAATGCCTGATAAAGTCTCCTTGACCAAGTAGTAAGTAGCGCCTCATGGCCTGCATGTGTTCCAGTAAATTGTACTTCTTATTGAGAACATCCAGCAGGTATTTGCTGGTCTCAAAATAAGCTGCATCAATTTTCTCTTGAAATGCATTTTCCAGATCAGTGAACAAATCAGCAGCTAAAAAAAAAAAAAGGTTAAAATTAAATTAGTATTTTTCCAAAACTGAGGCAAATAAGATATTTATTCAGATCCACTATATTATACATTTGGCATAGCCAAAGTGAAAGGAAGTCTAAAACAGCCCACACTTCAACATTATTAATCTGTGCCCAGCTTGTACATTCCAATAAGAGATCATATTATTTCATAACTTTTACACAGAAAGTGATTTTTTTTTTTTTAGCTTGCTCAAATACTGCAATTTACAGAATCAAATAATTTGAAGGAGTTCTAAAAGCTCAGAGTTCGGGAAAAGCTTTGTTGGGGAGATATTTAAATCAGAAGTCACTTCTAAGGGCAGGGGGAAAAACAATCAAAGAATCAGAACACTCAACAGAAAAGAGTTCCCGCATATAAATCTGAACAAGAGAGGAGGGAATATGCTTGTGTTGTCTGGGGGACAGCTAGCAATCTGATGTTTTCTTCTCCATCTTTAATGCATGGCAATTTGGGGGCAGAAAGTAGGACACCGCCCTTTAGTAGGAAGCGTATTTCACTCTCTTCTACAACTACAAGCTTATTAAGAAGCGACTGCAGTAAGGCTGTTAGGAGATAGCAAGAAGTGTGGCCTTTTCAGGCAACAAGAAGCAAAACTCCAAATACTATCATAAGATTCTGACCTTTCTCTGCATTAAAAGATATACTCCCATTTTCAGCAATTTTTAATTACACAACTATTGCTCTAAAGGTAAAAAATGAAGATCCAGGTACCAAATCAGTAAGACAGTGCACTGCCTGCTCCAGGATTAGTTTCAACCTGTACAACTGACAGGAAAAGCTAAAACCAAGTTTCATGTTATTCTGATGAGATTCAGCCTCAATTAATAAAATGCTTTTAAATTGAAGAAATAAACAGTAGTTCTGATAAAGAAATCACTCTTGAATGAGGGAAACCTCACAATGTCTGATTCAATGACATTCCCTGAGGTTTCCAAACTCTCATTCAGTAAACTAAGTTCTCCATTAAGACACCAAAAGTGCAAGTATATGCAGAGATGTCAAAGAGATGACTCTTGTATAATACACTGCTGTGCTCAAAACCACTACACTAGGAGAATACTTAGTCGAGTAACATGTGTCAAGCTTAGGAGATGTGAGAATTAATACAGTAAGGAATCCTCAAAGTGCCCTTTGACAGCAAAACAGGAGAGACAGCTCACCGAGGTCTCTGCTCATTCTGGTCAAGGCAGAGATCTGGTGTGATCGGACAAAGCAATTCTTGCATTGCTCAGGTAAAGAAGCATGCAGCAGTATTCCCACTGCTGCGAAAAAGGGAAAAATGTCAGTTCATGCAAATACATTTATCTCACTGGTACAAGGTAACACGACAGTGAGAACGTCCAATTAATTCTGACTTTCATCTAGTCTTTCCCCATCAGCAGATCCTGTCCTCTTAACTGCTATCTTCAAAAGACGGGTTCAAGCATGGCTGCTTGCAGGCGTAGTGGTAGCAGCCATCTGATCTGCCACATGGCTTCACTGCTGGCTTTAGAGGAAGAAGGAAGAGCTTCCAGAAGGGGAAAAAAGCTAAAATAGGAGTTACGCAGGCAGAACACAGTAAGTTACAACACCCCAATGATCTGTTCCTGCCAGTGTCTTTCCACAGGATGCTGCAAGCCCAACGGGCAAAACAAAAGAGATAACAAGCCAACCCAGAAAGAGTTATGAGCTAATACCTTCAGCTACTGGACAGAGGTTGTGCCTAGGACTGGCTCAAGGCACAGGCAAAAGCCAAGAGGCAGCAGGCAATCACCTAGTTTGCCTACGGCAAACCTACCAAGTTGGACATGCTGGTCCTGTCTCCACTCACGTAGGGGTGAGCGTATGTAAGGGAATATCTATGGCTGAGAACACATGGACCAGTCTCAAGTTCTTGTTATCCCAAGTGGACAAAAAGTCTTTCCCCTCTCCTTAGTACTGTCCCCCTGCCTTGAGGGAAGGGATCTGGCCACAGCCCTTCATCTCTGAGACTGGAAAATTCCAGTGTACATGTGTAGCTGTAATGCACCATCTCTGCATACATGCACACCAGTGTAGGTAATGCAATATCCCTGTTGGACATGCAAAACTACTAAAAAGGTTGCTTACATCAACAAACAAGAGGCCTAGGCACAAGTTTTTAAAGCTGTGCAAAATCATCTCAGGCCACTGTGAAAAGCCAGAAACGGGTGAAGAAAGGGTCAGGCAAAAAAGCACTGACAGACAGGTCCATGAGTTGCTATTGAACGGAGTGGTTTCACATCATTCCTGGTTCAGAAGTTTCCAAACTGTGGACAGCTAGAGGTCGGAGCTGGCATCCCTTATCTTCTTTTTTTACTGTCCTTCTTCCCCAACTGCCTGCTACAATCTTCTGTCAGTCAAGATGACCACCTTCTACATTGTTCTTCATCTTCCTGTTTTAATACATGTCCAGACAGTTTTTTACATCATGATTACTTCAGCGTCAAAAGGAAACTGGAGAAACACGAGAGTTAAGGTTCCAAAGCAAATTAAAGAAATAAATACAGCCAAACCCATGAAACATTCAGATTTAAAATGAGAACAAGCATCCAGAATTCAAGCTGGCATCCATCCTAGCTTTCCATCGTCTTATTAGAAGTAATTATCTGAAGGGACTCTCAGGATATTGTCAGATGGCACAAACAAGGATGACAGGATGCATTTCCAACATCACTGACACAGAATGTTCTTTCTGGATTGAATGGATAAAATGCCCTAAATGCAAATGGAGTTTCATGCAGAAATAAGGCAGTGCAATACCAAGAGGTATTTAGGCTGCAGACCTCAATAAACTCAGCGCGCTTCAGCACACTGCAGAAATAGTGGATAACATCCATTTCTAAAACTACACTTCTGTCTGAAACAGGTATTCTCAGCACTTAAGATAATGTGCTTGCTTTGAAGCTCTCATTCCCTACGTAATAGGGAACCTATATTTCTGTAGATCTTCCATTCAGTCAAGGAGAGAGAAACAAGCGCAAATTAAAAAAAATATGGGGAAAAAGCATGGCCATAAATGCTGTATAAAGTGGTGAAAGCAGTGTAGCCAAAGAATGTTTTTGCCTTTTTCAGGAGCAGCTGGCAAGATGATGGTTCAAATGCATTTACAGTCCTTATTCACTTAACCCTGACACCTCTCTGCACTTTAAGCACATCTTTGACTAGGCAAGCACCACGCATGGTACAACAATCACATTATTAGATGAAATATTCTTGTAGACATGAATGAGATTTTATTATTAGAACAGCTTTCATGGAGGTACTTATGCTAAAAGTCCATGCTGTGAAGAGTTAATATAAAAACTAACCCAAGGTTAATCTGGAGCGGGGAAAAAAAAAAAGATAGTCCCACAAAGCCAAGTTTCAAAGTTATATATAATAAAGTCATATTTGAGTACAGGAATAACAGAAAAGATATCGTACAAGATGTCAAAAAATGCAAAGAAAGATGTTCTTAGAGAACTAAGTAAAGAGCTTGGCAGAAAAACAAATGTTTAGATAATTCTTCTCTTGGCAAAAGTTGGATATACTAGTAGGACATCATTATACTTTTAGAAACTACGTACAAAATAGTATCAGAGAAATTATCCCAGTGATCTACATCTGAACAATTGGACTCTCTTTGGTATATTAAATGAGTTATAAAAAGAAGTTATAGTAGGAAAATATCACCTTCACCAGAAGAAAGTTGTCCTTTCTCCCAGATGTAGCAGCATCCTACACATTGTCTTACCTTCTTTGCTTAGTATTTACACATAAACTCTCCTTGGTTTAGATGTTTATTATTTGCTATCTTTCATCATAACAATGTTAATTTTATTGCAAACAACTTGCCACCAAAGAATAACTGCAAATGGTATATTACTTCTCATTCATTAAAACTGAAATCTCTTCTAAATATAAAGAAATAACCTGAACGAATTCTGACAGTTAAGTTTTGGATTTACGCTCAACAGCTGGCAACCCCAATTTTAAGTAATCTTCAAAAAAACATTTTAGTAACCTTCCACGTACTCAATTTTCTTCAGAGATATTATAGTGGTAGAGTGCATTAACAGAAAGGCCCCTGTCCTGCCTCATTTTACTGCTCATTCTCTCATTTACGACCAATTGATTATTTATTATTTTTAAATCACACTTTAATTCAGTATTATTATTATGGAATTGTATGATGAAGTATATTTGATGAGAAGTCACAAGTACTAAATTCTTACTGCAGCACTCAAGAATATCCCTGTCCTCACCCCATCCCTATCATCAAAAGCCAACTGAAGGCAGACTGGTTTCTGAATGGTTTCATTCCAAAATCCAGTACATTAACAACCATCCAGCAAAACTATCAAATTAAGAAAAGAAAATTACACATATGCATCTTCATACATTTTTTGTAAAATGCAAATATCCCTTAAAATACCTCTATTTTAGGGCAGATGGGACTTTTGTACTCCTTTCCACCCCACTATCCAGAATGCTAGTTTATGGTCTAAACCACATACTGTACAGAGCTCAGTTCAAAGGGAAGAAGCTGAGTAACACTGATACTCTACCATCTTTTGAAGACTCTGTAGATTTTGCCACAGCAATCATCTTTGTGGATGGAGTTTGGTCATGACAAACTTGATGCAAGAAGTTTATGGATTTTCCTATTAGGAGGACCTGAAGAAAACAGAGGGTTTGGGGTTTTTTGAAAGTGATTTGCATATAAGGAAAAAAACAAAGTGGCCACCCACAACCACCAGGACAACAGGATATTTTGTCATCTTTCTGTGCTCTTAGCTTCACAATCCCAACCACAGCAATCCAGAACTTCAATGCTAAAAAGGTTTTAAACACAAACTTCTTTTCCCTCCTTGAGATCTCCTTAGACAAAGTTTATCAGTTAGAGAATGGAAAGGAGAAACAGTCTTACAGTCTTCCTCAGCAAACAATTCTAAAATTCTTAAGACGATTATTTATTGTTAAATTTTCTTAATGGAAAATGTCTCTATTTTCTTAATGGAAATCTAAACAGCAGCATAGTGCAAACAAATCATCAGAAGATCAACTTTTTCAATTCATACCTTTTTTGATTGCTCCATTGTAATGAAAGAAGGGATCATTGATTTCCTCAAAGTGTATTTGTCATGCCACAACCGATCAGTTTTAACTGTAGGATCTGAAGCTACAAAAAACTGTAGATTGAAATAAATATTAAATATATATATTTA